CCTGAAGCTCTGAAGAGCAGCTCAGAATCAACCTGAGGATCCAGTTGCTGATGTTCAGAGTTGACATCTTGTCTGAGGGGGCCACTACACTAATCCCCATCAAGACACTTATTTTAACCAAGAGGAGTGCTCCACCACTCTTCCCTCCGATAACAGGGGAAGGAACATAATAGAATAGCAGAGTTGGAAGGGACCTTGGAGGTCTTCCAGTCCAACCCCCTGCTTAGGCAGGAAACCCTATACCGTTTCAGACAAAGGGTTGTCCAACATCTTCTTAAAAACTCCCAGTGTTGGAGCATTTACAACTTCTGGAGGCCAGTTGTTCCAATGGTTAATTGTTCTGACTGTCAGGAAATTCCTCCTTAGTTCTAGGTTGCTTCTCTCCTTGATGGGTTTCCACCTGTTGCTTCTTGTTCTGCCCTCAGGTGCTTTGGAGCACAGCTTGATCCTCCTTTTCTTTGTGGCAGCCCCTGAGATATTGGAAGGCTGCTATCATGTCACCCCTGGTCCTTCTTTTCATTAAACTAGACGTACCCAGTTCCCGCAACCATTCATTGTCAGTTTCAGCCTCCAGTCCCCTCATCCTCCTGGTTGCTCTTCTCTGCACTCTTTCTAGAGTCTCCACATCTTTTTATCGTATGGTGACCAAAACTGGATGCAGGATTCTAGATGTGGTCTTACTAAGGCTTTATGGAGTGATCTTGATTGTATCCTTCTGTTAATGCAACTTAGGACTGCAATAGTTGACTTTATGGAGAACCTCATTAGCAATAGGGGTTTGGCAGCACCTCTTGATGCATTTAGAAGCATGTTAAAGATACATATTTTTAAAGACATCCATTAGGGGTTAGAGTAAAAACCCTTAAAAAGGGGAGTGGGAGAAGAATTTTAATGAAAGGAAAAGAAGAGGACCAAAATGGACCTTGAGACCAGAAGGGAACAATAATCTCGCAGGAGCCATAGAAGAATGAGAAGGTATAAGGGGGAGGGGGAAAACTTACTGAAATTTGGCCTGAACGAGATGCATTTTCAGGTTTCTTACAGGAATGGAGAGGTCTGTCGCCTACTCTGGAGGACTCTGGATGTTGCAAAGAGAAATATTTACTGCTGCGTGCATATTGTTTAATCATTTAAATAAGAGCACTGCATCTTCAGACGCCTATAGATTGCCCCAGGGAACTGCTTGCCAGCAAATTGTCCAAAGCAATACAATTCAACTCTTCTTCCCTTCCAAACAGATGCATTTTGTGCCTCACATATTTGTTGTACTTGAACTAGTAAAGAACACAAAGAAACTTCAGTGGGTTCTTTCATCCCCAGTGTCTATGTTTTATAAAATGGATTTGAGAATTTTTTTGTTTTTTGCTATTGTACAACACCTCTATGCTGCTTCAAGGACATTTTAGAGTGGCAAAACCCTGGAAAGTTTTAAAAGAGAGCGCTCTGAATAAATTTAACTTAGCTAAGACAAGATAAAAAACAGTGGTTCGTAACCTGAGCTCCATCAACAATTTACGAAGTTCCCTGAACTTGGATAGAGGAAAAAATATATAATTTTTCACTCACCTCTAACCAAAATTTAGTTTTTCATTAAGCAAAAGAGTAATTTTATGGCTTCTACACTCCAAAAAACATTTATCAACTAAAATAAATCTCACATTCTAAAATTAAAAAGGCAAAGCTTCCCATTGCACATACGTGCTAGTCATTCCCAATACTAGGGGGGCGTTTCAAAGCCGAAGAGCCAGCGCTGTCCGAAGACGTCTCCGTGGTCATGTGGCCGGCATGACTCAATGCCGAAGCCACACGGAGCGCTCTTCCCTCCCCACCAAAGGCTGAAGGCTGAAGTGAGGGATGTCCTTGGTGCTCTCTGAGGTTGTTTTCTTGCAGACGTTTTGTGACCCTAACTAGGCAACCTCATCAGTGCTAGAGGGGAGTGGGGTTTAGTAGCATGGATTACGTTACCCAGTTAGGCTCATGAAACGTCTGCAAGAAAACAAGCAAGCTCAGAGAGCACCAAGGACCCCTCGGCTAATCTTCTGTCTCCTCCACCCACCGACTCATTTCCATCCAAGCTCTGGAAAACATATGGAAATATTCTCCTTCCTCCTTTCAAGGCAGCCCTCCGGCTCTTCTGACTGACACATTTGCATATCTTGCTGGGTAAAATAAAAGGCCAAGGCTGAAGGAGAAGAAGAAGAAGGAGAAGGAGAAGGAGAAGGAGAAGGAGAAGGAGAAGAAGAAGAAGAAGAAGAAGAAGAAGAAGAAGAAGAAGAAGAAGAAGAAGAAGAAGAAGAAGAAGAAGAAGAAGAAGAAGAAGAAGAAG